AAAAAAAAAAAAAAAAGCTAGAGATATTTCTGCAGTTTGTTTGTCCTTAGAATGTATCTTACCAAGGATGTACAGTCTGATGGAGCACAAGTTAGTTTTGCAATAGAAAGCTTGCTTGGTGGAGTGTTGCTCCTCCTGAGGTTTGTGGAGGTAAAATGCTTTCTGAAAGAGCAGGCCTTTGTTCTGTTATCAACTCCCTGGGTATGTTTCAAGCCATCAATGATTCAGGTTCCTTTTTTTTTTAGACAGAGTCTTGCTCTGTTGCCAGGCTGGAGTGCAGTGGTGCGATCTTGGCTCACTGCAACCTTGGACTCCCTGGTTCAAACGATTCTCCTGCCTCAACCTCCTGAGTAGCTGGGATTACAGGCACATGCCACCATGCCTGGCTAATTTTTGTATTTTTAGTAGAGATGGGGTTTCACCATGTTGGCCAGATGGTCTCGATCTCATGACCTCATGATCCGCCCACCTCGGCCTCCCAAAGTGCTGGGATTACAGGTGTGAGCCACTGTGCCCAGCCCCAGATTTTGGGAGCCTGTGTAGCAGCTCCCTTCCTACACACTCAAGTCTGTCTTCCCTGGGTGGCTTGGCTTCAGGAAATAGAAACCGTCAGGGGTCAGTCCGATCAGCAAGGTGGACAGTCCAGCCTGGTGATGGCACATGGGGCATAAAGCTGCCTGTGGCTTTGAAGGACTGATGAGGAGGGTCGTGGAGGGAAGTTCTGAGGACTGATGGCATTGCTGACCAAGTGAGGGGTCACTAGGGGCCTAGTTTGGAGCTTCTGCTGTGTTTTCAGTCCTGCCCTTCATATACAAGAAACAGGCAATAGTGAGGCTTAATAAGGACAGTGTGAGACCAGCAGGTTACACAGGAGGGAACGCCCAGTGCCTGCAGACAGGACAGGAAATGTCTAGAGAACGCCAGTTTAGTCGGATATGTGGGGGCAGGATTTAGCCTGGGGAGAAGGGAGGACACCTCAGGAGGGAGAAGCAGCTCAGGGAAGGCTCAGAGGCCGCGATGCTCAGCGTTGCCTTGGGCTGGATTGGGAAGGTGGACAAAGGAGAGCCCAAGTGGTGGCCAGAGGTTGGTCCCTGCAGTGTGCCTGCCCCAGCTTGGAGGCCAGGGAGCAGGAGGACTCGGAGAGAGATTGGCACAGGGTGATGAGTTGGTCAAGATCAAGGAGTGAGAATGGCTAGGAAAGAAACAGGTGTGAGGAAGATGGAGACGACCAGTCTGATAGGTTGAGCCTAAATGGCTCCAAGAGGAGGAGGATTAGGGAAAGGCAACTGGATTACACAGGTGGTCACTGGAGGCCTTGAAGAGGGCACTCCTGGCGAGGGGTGTCAAGGACACAGGTGCAAGCTCCTTGTGTCTTGCATTTGCAGGCTTTTCATAGGAGCAGGGAAGCAGAGGCTGCAGGGTTAAGCACAGCCTTGAGTCTGGAGGTCCACGGGTGTCTCAGGCCAGGAGTCAGAAGGACCTGCGGCATGTGGAGAGAAGGATGGTGGTGAGGTCAAGCCAGACATGTGTCAGTCCTAACCTGATGAATGTGGCTAACTCCTGTTCCTTGCAGGGCTCAACATCGGCCCCGTGGTGGCTGGGGTGATTGGGGCACGAAAGCCTCAGTACGACATCTGGGGCAATACGGTGAACGTGGCTAGCCGCATGGACAGCACTGGTGTGCCCGACCGCATCCAGGTGAGTGCAGGAGCATCCACCACCCCTCACCCCCATGGGAGGGCCTGTGTCTGATGCTGAGAGGTCTTCAGGGCAGGCCACCCACAGTTCCCAGTCAGAATTTCTGTAGCCAGATTCAAGGTTGATGGGGCAGGTGACGCAGTCTTGGAAGCTTGAACACAATTGTGTTTCAGACCCTCAGCACCTTGGACAGATCTTCAGGTCGGTGCAGAGCCCTCTACTGGGCATGGAAGGGATTGGGGGTTGCTAGGAGTGGAGCTGAGTGCAGAGGCCAAGTTGAGAGCACAGGTAGGCGCCAGTGCTTCCCAGGCACAGAAAGAGGACGCAAAGATGTCTGCAGGGAGCAGATCTTACCCACTGAGCCTGCAGCACTCCTGGCCTGGCTCAGGAGAGCCAGTGGGGGCTGCTGGCCTTTGGATGGTACCTCTCCCAACCCCAGCAGCCCAGGGCCCTGGCCAGAGACCCAGAGGTCTTTTCCCCTTGCTCCCTCCTTTGCAAGCTGGGCTTGTGGTTTCCAGGCCTGCCGCCTTTTCTTGAGCGTTCTTTGGTTCTCAGCTGCAGTCTGATGGCAGAGGCACCACCCCCTCCTGCACAGCCCTCACCTCTAGTTCGGTGTGAGGCTGTGGGAAGTCAGCTCACCTGGCCTCAGTTTTTCCAGGTGCTAACTGTGCTGCTTTTTGCCAACACCAATACTGCTTAAATGTCCCGACTTCTCTCCCCCATAGGACCTCTGAATGAGGGGCTGACCCCAAGCACAGCCCTGCGCCAGTCAGCCTGGCTGGCATGGGGATGCTGGCCCAAGGGCCTGGCCTTCATGGCCTTTTCTCACCTCCATCCCTGTGGAGGAGAGAAGGGTGGCAGGATGAGCACAGTGATAGGAATAGGGGGCATATATGCTTATAAGGCTTCCAACCCATTCAGGGACAGGTACAAGGGACTCTCTTAGTAGCTACCACAATGACCCAGCACCTCACCCTGTGTGGGGGCTTCACCATGCAGGAACTACAGCTAGTAACACAGTGGGGTCCCCTCTCAGCAGCCCACCTGGCTCTCCTACTCCCTGCTCCCTGGCACTTGCCAGTGGGCTTGCAGCATGGCTGGGGTGGGGAGCTCTGACGATGCTCACAAATGGCCCTTGGGTCACCCCGGGAGGAACACCCCCCACACCTGACCCTGCCACTCTTTTCTTTCACCCAGCAATGGGATAGTGGAGTTAAAGAAGCCACCAGTGAGCTCTCTTCTTTCCAAAAGCTAAAGCAGAGCCAGGCAACAAGACCTGAACCTGAACCCAGCCCTTGCCATTTATTAACTGTGTAACCTCAGGCATGTGACTTAGATGCTCTAATAGTCACTTCACAGGAAGATGAAGTGACGTAAGTGGTGGCTCTCAAACTACCTGTGGTGAAAAAACAGCTTTTAAAAAATCGTTTTGTCATGGAGGGATGTTTTGGTTGCACCGGGGACACACTTGGAGATGGGCTGTGGCCAGGTCAGATGGCTGTGAAAGCCTCTCTGTACTTACTCTCCGCTCCTGAACTGACTCTCGACTCAGGGCGTCAGTACATGGACCGCAGGCCACACTGAGTGGCACAGAAGCAGCACACGGAAGTTGCCCATCACAGTGCCTGGCTTGAGCAGGTGCTGAGGGAGAGCTGGCATCGCTCTATTCTTAGGGTCCCTTCCATGGTGAGCTACTGTTAGTTCCTGAGAGCACGACAGTAGGGCAGCTGCCCCTCTCCTTCTGTGGCAGAAGGGCTGGGCAGTCAGAGGTGGCTTTACCCCATAGCAGTTCATGGCTAAGGCCATCAGTGGCCTGTCCTCTCTCCTCTTCTGCTCTCACAGGTCACCACGGACATGTACCAGGTGCTGGCTGCCAACACTTACCAACTGGAGTGCCGGGGTGTGGTCAAGGTCAAGGGCAAAGGCGAGATGATGACGTACTTCCTCAATGGAGGGCCCCCGCTCAGTTAGCAGCTGCTGGCCAGTGGGGCCAGGCAGCCTGGCCTCCAGAGGCATGGAAGCAGCTTCTCTGTGTGCCGGGGGTGGCGGGGAAGCCATGCTCCAGCCCGCAGGGCTGCGCTGCTGAGATTTTCCACTTGGACTCCAGAGCAGCTTCTGCCTTTGCTGGTGGGCAGCGGCCTCTATCCCAGGCCCCGAGGTGCCAGCGTCCTGCGAGCACCCAGCTGACCAAAGATGTTTCCCTCTGTAGAAGACTCTGCTAGACTGGGTCTGAAGCTTGAGTTTTCTAACAGGTGCTGCTGCACAGGTGGAAAGGAGCCGTGGGAGTGTGTGTGTGGCGCAGCCCAGACAGGGGCAGAGCTGAGGGAGGGGCCTCCGCCTCAGCTGGGGGTAGATGGGCTCCACTCCGGCCTGGAGGAGCCTAGGGGTCTGCTTTTCCATGTGAGCCTTTAACCTTCAGACAGAGGCCACGATCCTGCACCTGCAGGGGCTTTGGGGCAGGAGTGCTGGCTTTGGAGGGACTGTGGCCTTCATCGTGGTCCTCTGCCCACACCTCCACGCACATAGACAGTGCCCTAGGAGGGAAACAAACAGAACTAATTATGAGGGGGAGGAAAGAGGACACCAAGCAAGGAGTGGTGATTCTGAGAAAAAATATTTATTAAACAAAACAAAACTAGTTCTCCGTGCCCTTCTTTAGACTATGCTAGTTGTATGCGTGTAAGACACACAAGCAAATGAGGACGCCACTCGGGGGGAGGGCAGGGATCCCCACTTGTCTTTTTTGTATTTTTTATTTTGTATTATTGAAAGCCTTGGAGATCTCACAGATATGCCAAATTCTATATTTTGTAAATTAGAAAACAGCTGTGCACAGCAGGGCGTGTGTGCTCATTTGTACTGTGTGTATGTTGCTGTATGTACTAGTGTATATGTGTGTATGTTCATGCTGTGGAACTGGTCTTACGCAGGATGCGTTTCCCTTATTTCAGATTTGGCAGTTTTGGTTTTCCCAGGTACCACCAGAGCAGTGGGTGTGTGCTTTCGGGGTGCCATATGCCCAGATTGAGGAGGAGGATGCACGGACACATTGACCCATCTTTCTCTGCCACACACACGTGTGTACACACATGCACACACCCTGCTTCCCCTAAGAAAAATGCAGATGAAATAAGAAAAAAACTGTTTTCCCATTCCAGGCCAAGCTGGAACCAAGGGAAGCAACCTCATTCTGCAGCAGGTAGCATGGCACCCTCCACACCCTGAGATTTCAGACATTTGTTGCCTGCAGAGGCAGGTCCTGCAAACTCCCGGGTGCTCTGCAGGCTGGGGCAAGGAAACCAAGCCTGCCTGGCCTGCTCAGTTGGCCAAGGTACAGGTGGCTCTTCCTGGAGATGATCACTCAGTCCAGGGATGCAATGTGCAGCGAGCCCTCAGGTTTGGGGAAAGGGAGTAGCCTTGACCTCCACCGGCAAACCAGGCAGAGGAATGGGTAGAGCCCAGCTTCAGAGTCCACAGGGAAAGCTAGCAGAAATTTTCTTTTATCGGGATGGGGCAGTTAAACATACCAAGAAAAAAATACTATTTTTATAAGCTATGAGGAAAGCATATGGAAAATGATACTGTATCACAGAATTCAAACAGAATCCTTAGGGCCCATGCCCAAATCTCTCCATTGCTTCTCAGGTTAGAATTATCCTCCCTCCAACATGAGCTTGAAGGCAGTAAGGCAGCAGCTGTGCTAGCTGCCAAAATGTTACTTTGATGTCCACCTGCACCACCTCTCACTGGGCTCGATCAACACCCTCCCTTCCCTGCACACCAATCCCACCACAATTCAAACACAGCTCTGAGAAGCAAAGTGTGTGGACCCAAAACTGCCAAGCCTGAGTCTGTCCCGTGCTTCTACATTGCCATCATGCCGTGGGCCGCAGGAGGCCCGCCTTCTCCCAGCTGTTGTTCTCAAGTTCCCTGCCCCTCCACAGCGCCTGCCAGTGGTGGTGGGTTTTCGTTCTGCTTCCAACCCGAGTAAAGTGTGTGTGCTGAGTTCATCCCATGTTCCCCCATGGTCACAGCCTCCTGGCCCCACGGAGGCCCCTCTCCCATCCTAGCAGTGACTGGTGACCGCGTGCAGGTGCAGTGCTAGCTCTTCGTTCCCTCTAAGGGGTGTGCACTCTTTTTATTCCTACTCTTGCAAAAACGGATACGATTATGATTTCCCATGGAAATTGAAGTCTATTTAAATAATTTAACTATTAAACACTTTCACTGGTAACGTGTCCTGGTCTGATTTGCAGCTTGGTACACCCAGCCTTTGGGGTGCTGGGGAGGGGAGCCGCAGAGGGCAGCCAACTCCCGAGTAGGGAACAGCGCCTTGCTACAGAGATGATGCTGGCTGAAGACTGTGGTCCTTGTGGCAGCCATTTGGGAGAACACTGGTGACCACAGCAAGCATCAGTGCACGGGGCTGGGGAGCTGGCATACCCAGTGCAGGAGGCTGAGGAACAAGGGCTGAGGAGTAGGGACCAGGAGTGAAGGGGATATGAAATCCAGGATTAGACCAGGTCCATGAAACCACATGTGGACACCAAAGAAATGCAACTTAAAACCTTCAAAAGCCCTTTCCAACCCCATTCCCACTGAGCTAATCCCAGAGAACCTATTCATTTCTCCCTTATGAGGACCTACTTTTTTCCAAAAGCATATTCATATCTAGAACACTAACAAAATGTATTTGAAAAGATGCTTTTGATAGATGGGTGAGTTTTGAACACCACGTTAATGCTCACGGACAGCAAACATCACCAAAACCAACACCAGACTGCAGCCAACATGATGATTATTTGACTGTAGTGTGATGTTAGCAGCTAATCAGTGGGAAGACACAGTGAATCCTGGTGTATTGGAGAGACTAAGACATTCAAAGTTACAAACACATTCACAGAACTTTTCCAAAAGCAAAATTACCTGAGTGGCATGTAGTCAAATGATGGTAGGAGCTGCGGGTTTTCCATAGTGCTGCAATGGCCATGAGTTGTTGCTCCTCAGCAGTATATGAGCTTCCCGGAGCCTGAAGAAGGTGCTGAGCCCGTGTCACTGTAGGGCAGGAAAGCCTTCTCAGGCAGTTCAGCATTCAGTGCTCACGAGTGCTGAGCAGATTCTCACTGCTGCCTGAACAAGAGAACTACGATGGCAGTGACAAACACGCTCTAAAACCCGGCAGCTTTTGAATTTGTCTAAAAGCAACACACCAAAGAGAACAAATGCTGTCCTGTTCACCTTCAGAGGGAAGGGAACCAACAAAGCTTGGCTATGCTGGCTCTGGCTGCCCACTGCAAGGCCCCCATCACTGAGCACAGTATCAAAAGGAGAGCTGGAAGGGCTGCTGTTATTTATGGGGGTGGGGAAGGGGAGGTGCAGCAGACCAGACAAGCCATCCTGCTCCATTTGGATGAACTTCACTGTGTATAGAGAGCTCATGCACATTTTCTCACCTGCGCCTCCTCAGGCCTGAGAGGCCATTCGAGAAAGGACTGGAGCCTCGCCTGAGGTCATCCTGGTATCAAAGCAGTCCCTGTGGCACTTGCCCAGAAGCACTTCTGTTAACGGTCCTCATCTGGCTGGCTACTGAAAGAGCTTGGCAGGAACAGTGGGCTCACCACTCCTCCAGGTTAACAATAGATGAAATGAGAGCCAATGACTAAAGTGGGCTTTTCTCATCTTTCCAGATTTTCACAAAAGCCCTCTTGGTGGTTTTTCATCCCTGTCTTGGGAGGGAAATTGTGATATTGGCTGTCTTCTTGCCATCTCTTTTTCCCACCTGCAGGGTCCCTGCTTCACAAGACGGACACAAGAACAAAGGTAAATGAGGGCATTGGAGTGGCTGGTCTCCAGCCTCTCCCCTTCCACTGGAACACCCTGAGTCTAAATATTTGTGTAACTCTTTATCCAATCTTCAAGTGCCAGACCACATATATGGTGCAAATGTAAACACAATCTAATTAAGACTAAGATTTAGAGCCAAAGGCAGAGACAAATGAGGCAAAAGCATCGTGCCAAGGGGGATCTGTGGGAAAATCACCTTCAAACCAAAGTCAGAACCAGCCCTTGTTTTGTCCTGCAGACACCAGCCCAGCCCAGCCACATTCACATCAGCATAGCCACAGGCCTCTCTTGCCGAGGGCCCCATTCAGGAGTAGGGAGTGGAGATAATCCAGGTTTACAGGGCAAGCAGCAGGTCCAGAGAGTCCAGGGGAGGAAGACGGCAAAGCAAAGGATTCACCTAGGGTTGAGGGTGGGTGAGCCACTGAGGCCATATGCATCTCCAGGGCTTGCCTCTCCTACTGCTACTCCATCAGGGCCATGAATTTAAAGAATTCTCACTGGAATCCCTAAGGGGGACTCATCACTGTGTTTTCCCTTGGCCGATTTCTAATTTAGATCTGCCTGGAATCTCAGGTTTGTCAGCATCTCTGGTTAGCCTGAGACTAGTTTTATTTTGCAGAATTTCGTCCCCACTTTGTTAGCCATACTGGCAGTCCCAGCTCACACAGTTTTTTTTTTTTTTTTTTTGGAGGGAGCCTTTTGCCTCAGATGCTTTTATAAAAGCAGTATTGCATTTGCATAATTTAAGATTGCCTTTCAGCTCTCAACGTCCCCAGCATCTGCATGATACTGCAGCTGAAGGCTGGGGCTGCCTTTCCACATCCCTCTCCTTCGTATCAACGCATGTGCACACTCAGGGGGCCCTTAGAGTGGGGGTACGAGGGCTGCTGCCATCCATGAGCAAACTAGATCAGATTTGAATGTGCCAAGTCAAGTGTAGGGCACCAAAATGCTGGTTTCACACTGAATAGGGCAAGGTTCCTAGAAGCACATCCCTCACTTGCCAGCACCCCAGTACCTGGGAGACTGTGCAGGTACTGGGCGAGCACAGACTACCACTCTCAGGGGTGTGACACGGGGCTTCATCCTGCTTCCTTCCCTCAGGAGGACTTGTTAAGGTGTATAACATCCTGTGGGCAAAGCACCTTGTATACAGCAGGCATTTGTCAAGTGTGAGTCCTTCAACACCCTCTTCTCTTTGGATGCACCTCCAGTGCCCTGCCCAGAAGTCTGCCCACAAGTGCCTGCCTGCCAGATATTTCAATGGGATTCTTAAGTGGTGGCTTCTGAAGAGTTTTGTACAATGATTTATGACATTTGAGGGCATTCGCAATTTAAAAGACTTACCACCTTTGAAATAACTGCAACAAGGAAGACCACACCGTGGTGGCCAACGCTTTCCTAGCACTTGCTGTGCCAGACTCTAAGTGCTTTACATTTACTCAGTCATCACAACACTGCTTTGCCAAAGGTACGATTATTATCCTCACTTTACATCTAAGGAAACTGAGGCAGAAAGATTAAGTAATTTGCTGAGGTCACCATACTAGTAGAAAAGAAAGCCAGGGATGATTCTGGCTCTAAACTCTTAAACACTATTTTGCACCTTGGAAAGTTCCCTTCTATTTTTTGGTTAATATTTTCAGACAGAGGGATCACAAATTCCCCAATCACCTAACAGAATTCCCATGAAACAATTTCAAGTTAAAGAATCAACCTGTTCTGGCATTTTGTTAGGAAAAGCAATTGTAACACCTAAATCACCAATAATGCTTTTATTTTTCATATCAAGAATTTGTTAGTTTTAGTACAAGTACTAAAATGTATACTTCTTGCCCTAATAGCTGAGGTATACATAAGCTTCACCTCACGTATGAGGTGAACCTCATACCTGAGATATGCACCTCTTGCATACATGAGGTGAACCTCATACATCCTGCAGCCATCTGCCCGTCCTTTGTCATTGTTACAAATGTAGGGATTTTAGGAAACTATTTTATTCAACCTGGGACATCTATACTGCAGGAGTTAGCACTGATCTGATGTCTTTAGTAGTAGTATATATTACCTGTATGTGTGGTGTGTGTATATATACATATATATATATATACACACACACACACATATATGTATTCCTTACGTATTTAAATGTATTTCCTTGTTATCTAGCTTCAAATCACATGGTGGTTAAGAGCATGAGTTCTGAGTCAGATCTGGACTGAAATCCTGGTGCTACCACATGGATTGTGACTGTGGTCAAGTCACTTAACTTCTTCATGGCTCAGGTGGCTCATTTTTAAAATAGAAAACCTTCATAAATGCTCAGTGAGGATGACATGCTTAGCATAGTGCCTGTCACATAGTACACATTGCCATTTCCCCCTTCATGTCTGCTTCATCTGTTCACACTGCTGCTAAAACAGTAAGAGCCCAGCTGTCATCAGTAACACACACATTCCCTAAGAAGTTTCTTTCTGAGATGCACTGTGACACAGAAAAATGAGCACCAACTTTTAAGCAAGTTAAATGCAAACCGCAAATTAGAACTCCCCATCCATCACTAAGTGTCATGCCATACAAAGACAAGTTCTTGACCTAAGTCTTGGTTTCTTCAAATGAAAATGAGATAGTGCTCCCTGTCCCCAACTACCTATGGAGGAGAACCCAGCGCTGGCCCACAAAATGAGCTCATAAGCATTCTCCTCATTAGTTAGTACTAGGTACTGGAGGAATTCAAAGTGCAAGGGTAAAACAGTTTGTCTTTAGGCAAGGTCCTTTGCAATACAGCCTCAAAGAAAAGTGCTGGCGCAAAGAAGGTAAGCAAGGCAGAACTGAGGATGGGACACCAGGAGCAAATGGGGAATGAAATGCCCGAGTCCTGCTTCCCGTTGTCAGATGGCGCCTGAATGTGCTTTCTGTCGGGTGCTGCTTGTATGGCTATGCTGTGAGATGCAGGAGAAAAGGGCAAATGTAAACTGTGGGTGGGGTTGGGCTGAAAATACTGTTTGTTGCCAAGAAACACAAGGAACAATTCTTAAGACTAAGATACTGATTTCAAGAACTCTGAGAACTAAGGCTGATATTTCTGAGTTTCCTAAAACCCCCAATTGTGGTGAGACAACTGATTACACATTGGCACTGCCAATGCAGAAGACGACTGAATGCCCACACATCAACACCACTCACTGTTAGTTAACAAGCAGGAGCATGCGCACCATGTGGCTTCCAACCACAGTGTTTCCATGTTTCTATTTCATCTGCTAAATAACCTAGAAAGCTTAGCCACTCAAGAAAGCCACTGCAAGAGTGGCAGCCAGTTTTTTTCTTTGAAAAACTCAATGCTTAAACAAGAGGCTGCAATCTGCCAGCATTCAACAGAAGCACCAGCACACTGATGATTAGATACCTCCAACCTTACTGGTAATGCTCAGAGCAACATTCTTAGCTGACTCAGCCCTTTTACACAAACTCAGTGGAGCTGGATTTCTTTTGTTAACTTTTAGTGAGGATATTACTAAAGCCAGTTTAACCCAAAAATCAGATTTTACCATAGCATTTTTAGGGAGAAATACTTCAGTTCCTTAGAGATAATAAGGCAGAAAAATACTATAAAGCCTTGACCATAGACAAAGAATGTGGTCCCAAAGAGTGAGCTATAACCTGTGGTAACGTTAAGTGTTCAATGTGGTGTGAGTAGTGGCTGCTCTTGGAATAATGTATGTGTTCTTTTACCACACACTTCACATAAATTCTAACTCTTACAGTGAGCCAAAAGTCTGTTAAAATAGTAACAAGGAAGGTGTGTACACACACACACACACACACACACACACACACACACAGTTGAATTCTGTGGAAACCAAACAGCTCCGAGTACATCCTTAGGTCACTTTGTAAACCTTCTGAAATAAAGGCCAAGCAATTGCCTTTTAGGGGAGCAGCTGACCTCAGGAGCCATGGAGGTTAGGTCCCTTATGACAAACCTCTGGTCTCTGTGGAGCCCCGACAAAGTAGGAGTCTAATGGGGTTCCACACACATCCTCACAGAAATGGAGCTGCGCATCTCTCCACACTAAATTCCACTGTGAAGAAGACCACATTTACTGCAATATACATATGCTAATCCAGGGATAGCACATTCACTTTCTATCTTACAAATTACAGAATTCGGCAAAGGTTCTCCGTGTCTCAAGGCATTTGTCTCAAATTATTTTCAAGCTTAATACTTATTTGCAGCTTAGAATAAGAATTCTTACTTATGGAAACAAAATCCTTTATTAACCACACCTACACAAATCCCCCAAACCCTGAAATGGAAGCCTTTGAAAGCTGGTACAAGGTAAGGATGCAAGGCACAATCATAACATGTAAATGTGTGAAAATCAAGAATTCTGTTCATTTTAGCACTTCACAGGACCCTCAATGAGAACATCTATAGCAGAAGGCATCAGGAAAGGCTCTCCCCTAAGCAACGGTTATGCTTTTGCCCTACTGATAGGGCAGTGCGTAACTTCTTTCCCTTCTCTTAGCCTTAATTTCCAGCAAGTTCCAGAGTCAAATTTTACATGCAATAATGTATGTTAAGCCTTTGTTTTTCTTCCCTTGCTGTTGATATGTTATTAGCATCGCTGTGTATATCTTATCTTGGTATGCTGCTTCAAGGGCTTTTGGGAAAGAGGCCAGGTATTAAGAGCTAACTATTCTAAGTCTATATGCACCCAATACAGGTGCACCCAGATTCATAAGCAAGTTCTTAGAGACCTACAAAGAGACTTAGACTCCCCAACAGTAATGGTGGGAGACTTTAACACCCCACTGTCAACATTAGACAGATCAATGAGACAGAAAATTAACAAAGATATCCAGGACATGAACTCAGCTCTGGACCAAGTGGACCTAATAGACATCTACAGAACTCTCCACTCCAAATCCAAAGAATATACATTCTTCTCAGCACCACATCACACTTATTCTAAAATTGACCACATAATTGGAAGTAAAACACTCCTCAAATGCAAAAGAATGGAAATCATAATAAACACTATCTGAGATCACAGTGCAATCAAATTAGAACTCAGGATTACGGAACTCACTCAAAACTGCACAACTACATAGAAATTGAACAACCTGCTCCTGAATGACTACTGGGTAAATAATGAAATTAAGGCAGAAATAAAGATGTGCTTTGAAACCACTGAGAATGAAGACACAATGTACCAGAATCTCTGGGACACATTTAAAGCAGTTTGTAGAGGGAAATACATGGCACTAAATGCCCACAAGAGAAAGCAGGAAAGAACTAAAATCAACACCCTAACATTACAAAAGAACTAGAGAAGCAAGAACAAACAAATTCAAGAGCTTGCAGGAGACAAGAAATAACTAAGATCAGAGCAGATCTAAAGGAGATGGAGACACGAAAAACCCTTCAAAAAATCAATGTATCCGGGAGCTAGTTTCTTGAAAAGATCAACAAAATAGATAGACTGCTAGCCAGACTAATAAAGAGAAGAAATAGATGCAATAAAAAATGATAAAGGGGATATCACCACCAATCCTATAGAAATACAAACTACATCAGAAAATACTCTAAACACCTCTATGCAAATAAACTAGAAAACCTAAAAGAAATGGATAGATTCCTGGACAGATACACCCTCCCAAGACTGAATCAAGAAGGAGTCGAATCCCTGAAAAGACCAATAACAAGTTCTGAAATTGGAGCAACAATTAACAGCCTACCAACCAAAAAAAGTCCAGGACCAGACAGATTCACAGCTGAATTCTATAAGAGTTACAAAGAGGAGCTGGTACCATTCCTTCTGAAACTATTCCAAACAGAAAAAGAGGGAATCCTCGCTAACTCATGAGGCCAGCATCATCCTGATATCAAAACCTGGCAGAGACACATCAAAAAAAGAAAATTTCAGGCCAATATCCCTGATGAACATTGATGTGAAAATCATCAATAAAATGCTGGCAAACCAAATACAGTAGCACATCAAAAAGCTTATCCACCACGATCAAATTGGCTTCATCCCTGGGATTCGAGGCTGGTTCAACATATGCAAATCAATAAACATAATCTATCACATAAACAGAACCAATGACAAAAACCATGATTATCTCAATAGATGTAGAAAGGGCCTTCGACAAGATTCAACAGCCATTCATGCTAAAAACTCTAAATAAACTAGGTATTGATGGAACGTATCTCAAAATAATAAGAGCTACTTATGACAAACCCACAGCTCATATCATACTGAACGGACATTCCCTTCCCTTTGAAAACCAGCACAAGACAAGGAAGCCCTCTCTCACCACTCATATTCAACATAGTATTGGAAGTTCTGGCCAGGGCAGTCACACAAAACAAAGAAATAAAGGGCATTCAATTAGGAAAAGAGGAAGTCAAATTGTCTCTATTTGCAGATGACATGACTGTATATTTAGAAAACCCCATCATCTCAGCCCAAAATCTCCTTAAGCTGATAAGCAACTTCAGCAAAGTCTCAGGATACAAAATCAATCTGCAAAAACCACAAGCATTCCTACACACCAATAACAGACAAACAGCCAAATCATGAGTGAACTCCCATTTACAATTTCTACAAAGAGAATAAAATACCTAGGAATACAACTTACAAGAGAAGTGAAGGACCTCTTCAAGGAGAACTGCAAACCACTGCTCAAGGAAATGAGAGGACACAAACAAATGGAAAAACCTTCCATGCTCATGGATAGGAAGAATCAATCTCATGAAAATGGCCATACTGCTCAAAATAATTTATAGATTCAATGCTATCCCCATCAAGCTACCATTGACTTTCCTCACAGAATTGGAAAAAACTACTTTAAATTTCATATGGAACCAAAAAAGAGCCCCATAGCCAAGACAATCCTAAGGAGAAAAAAAACAAAAAGCTAGAGGCATCATGCTATCATGCTATCTGACTTCAAGCTATACTACAAGGCTACTATAACAAAAACAGCATGGTACTCATACCAAAACAGATATATAGACCAATGGAACAGAACAGAGGCCTCAGAAATACCACCACACATCTACCATCATCTGATCTTTGACAAACCTGACAAAAACAAGCAATGAGGAAAGGATTCCCTATTCAATAAATGGTGTTGGGAAAACTAGCTAGCCATAGGCAGAAAGCTGAAACTGGCTCCCTTCCTTACACCTTACACAAAAATTAACTCAAAATGAATTAAAGACTTAAATGTAAGACCTAAAACTGTAAAAACCCTAGAAGAAAACCTGGGCAATACCATTCAGGACATGGGCATGGGCAAAGACTTCATGACTGAAACACCAAAAGCAATGGCAACACAAGCCAAGATAGACAAATGGGATCTAATTAAACTAAAGAGCTTCTGTACAGCAAAAAAACTATCATCAGAGTGAACAGGCAACCTACAGAATAGGAGAAAATCTTTGCAATCTATTCATCTGGCAAAGAGCTAATATCCAGAATCTACAAAGAACTTAAATTTTCAAGAAAGAAACCTACAACCCTATCAAAAAGTGGGCAAAGGATATGAACAGACACTTCTCTAAAGAAGACATTTATGCAGCCAACAAACATATGAGATAAAGCTCATCACTGGTCATTAGAGAAATGCAAATCAAAACCACATTGAGATACTATCTCATGCCAGTTAGAATGGCAATCATTAAAAAGTTAGGAAACAGCAGATGCTGGAGAAGATGTGGAGAAATCAGAATGCTTTTACACTGTTGGTAGGAGTGTAAATTAGTTCAACCCTTGTGGAAGACAGTGTGGCGATTCCTCAAGGATCTGGAACTAGAAATAGCATTTGACCCAGCAATCCCATTACTGGGTATATACCCAAAGGATTATAAATCATTCTACTATAAAGATACATGCACATATATGTTTACTGTGGCACTGTTCACAATAACAAAGACTTGAAACCAACCCAAATACCCATCAGTGATAAAGTCGATAAAGAAAATGTGGCACATATACACCATGGAATACTATGCAGCCATAAAAAAGGATAAGTTCATGTCCTTTGCATGGACATGGATGAAGCTGGAAACCATCATTATCAGCAAACTGACACAAGAAGAGAAAACCAAACACCATATGTTCTCACTCATAAGAGGAAGTTGAACCATGAACGCATGGACACAGGGAGGGGAACATTGCACACTGGGCACTGCTGGTAGGTGAGGAGCTAGGGGAGGGATAAAATGAGGAGGGATACCTGATGTAGATGATGGGTTGATGGGTGCAGCGTATCACCAGGACACGTGTATATCTATGTAACACATCTGCATGTTCTGTACATGTACCTAGAACTTAAAGTGTAATTAAAAAAAAAAAAACATTTCAAATACAGACAGAAAAAAGCAAGCAAATATTGCAATTACTTTAAGTATATAAAAGAAATATCTTTGCTCTCATGGTACACCCTAATCAAAAAGCAGTATTTAGGAATTATCTAAATTAAAATAGAGTACACCTATTAGGATAAAATAACCCAGCAGGCCTGGACTCACCAATTTCAGAACACCTCAATTCCTTGGCTTTACCGAGAACAGTCATATTCCCTGAATATAACACTGGTCACCTTCATAGTTCCATGCTAGTGCAAAGAACCCTGTACTAGATTAGGGTTGTGTGTGCTCAGCTATGTGAGCTGAGCAAGTCGTTACCATCTGATCGCTTCTGTGTCCTCCCTCTTGGCATGAGGGCAGCTACTACTGCTCCTATGCTACAAAACTCACTGTAAGGAGGTAAATTCAGACTTGTTCTTAGAAATAAAAGTGCAACATAAATAGAAGATCATACACCTTGGAGGCCTAAAGTGATTCTTTCTAAAGAGCCTAAGGACTTCTTTACACCAATTTCTCTCCAAATTCAGTGGTTTTTTTTTTTTTTTTTGGGGGGGGGGCAACATGATACAGGCGGGGAAATGATATAAACACTCAGAGATACAGGCACCAAATAAAGAAAGAAAGCATTTCTATACATAAAATATTTATACCTGTTTTCATTTTTTTTTACATTAAGATGTAAACATTCTCTTATCCAAAATAGCCAGTGAAAAAATAAAAACAAAAAACAAAGTAAGCCTTTAAAAATAACTGCTGAGGAGTTTTCAAGTGTTCTTGCTGAATGTATCTGAATACCAAACATTATAATTCATCAATTCAATGACAAGGAGGTAGCTCCTGAACCAAACTCTGGTACGAGCTGTACCAATAGACAGCAAAATCTCAATTAACCAGAATGCTCCAAATTTCCAGTTGATTATTTACAAAAAAAACCTGTTTTATCCATTAGCTCAGAAAACATTTCACATATATACACATATATATACACACATATATATATATATATATATATATATATATATATATATATTTTTTTTTTTTTTTTTTTTTGAGACAGTCTCACTCTGTCGGCCAGGCTGGAATGCAGTGGTGTGATCTGGGCTCACTGCTACCTCCGCCTCCCAGGTTCAAATGATTCTCCTGCCTGAGCCTCTTGAGTAGCTGGGAGTAAAGGCACACGCCACCATGTCCAGCTAATGTTTGTATTTTTAGTAGAGATGAGGTTTTACCATGTTGGCCGGGCTGGTTCTCAAACTCCTGATCTCAAGTGATCCACCTGCCTCCGCCTCCCAAAGGGCTGGGATTACAGGCGTGAGCCACCGTGCCTGGCCTGAAAAACTTTCCAAGTGGAACCACTTCGTTTTCCAGGCTACAAAATGCCCAACACAATTCAATGGTGTTTTGATGATTTAGGATCTTG